AATTTCTGGGTCAAATGGTATCTCTATTTGCAACTTTTTGAGAAAGCGCCATACTGCTTTCCACAGGGGTTGCACCATTTTACACTCCCACCAACAGTGGCATATTTAGGATTTTATTTCTCCGACCTTAGGAATCCAATGAACTGTTTTAAAAACCAGTGAAAGAAATGAGTCATTATCAATTTGATGACATGGGGTTTGAGATCCATTTTTAATGTTAAATGTCTTAGGCTTGGTTATGTAGAGAATAAAACCAATGAATATACTATGTAAATACATATACAGAGAAATTTATGGAAAGGGAACGACTCATACACTATGTTGTTGTTATTATGTGTCATTTAGTCGACCACAACTCATAATAACTCTATGCACAAAAGCTCTGAACCCTGCTTTGTCCTGGGCCAATCTCACTGTCTCTGACATACCTACCCTCATTACCCCAGTTATTGTGTCAATTCATCATATCCAGGGGTTTCTCCTCTTGCGCTGTCCCTCCACCCTTCCAAGCATTATGTCCTTCTCCAAATACTAGGCTCTTCTAGCAACATTGCCAAAGTATATGAAACAGAATCTCAAAACATTTGCCTCCAAGGAACAACTTGGCTTCACCCTTTCCTGGACAAACCTGTTAGTTCTCTTGGCAGGCTATGGTATGTTCAATACTCTTCTCCAGCACCATAACTCGAAGGCATGGATTCTTCTTCTAGTCTTTTGGTAATTATCCAGCTCTCTGATGTATAACAGGTAATTATGAAGACCATGGACTGGATAAGGCAGACCTTAGTCTCTAGACTGATATCATTGCTCTTTAGCACTCTGGAGGGCTCCCTGACAGCAGATTTCCCTAATGAAATTTGTCTTTTGATTTCCAGACTGATGGTGCCGCAAGTGTTGATTGTAGAACCAAGCAAACGCAAATTGTTAACAATCTCAATATCTTCTCCATCTATCATGATGCTGCCAATTGGCCTAGTGGTAAGAATCTTCATTTTCTTGATGTTGAGCTTTAATCCATAATGCAGACTACAGTTCTTGGACCTCTGTAGCAAGTGCTGCAGGTCCTCCTCAATTTCAGGAAGCAAGATTGTACATCTGCATAACACAGGTTGTTGATGAGTCTTCCTCCAATCTTGATGCCACGTTTCTCCTCATGAAGTCCTGTCTCTCAAATGATTTGTTCCACATACAGACTGAAAAGGTATGGAGACAGGATGCATCCCTGACACACTCCTTTCCTGATTTGAATCCATGCAGTGTTTCCTTGCTCTGTTTTGAGGACTGTCTGCTGGTCCAAGTATAGGTTTCACATGACCATAATTAGGTGTTCTGGAATTCCCATTCTTCTCAAGGTTAGCCATAATTTGTTGTGATACATGCAGTCAAATGCCTTTGCATAGTCAATGAAACACAGACAGATAGTCTTCTGGTACGGTTTGCTTTCTGCCCAGATCCTTCTGACTTTTGCGATTATATCTCTAGTGTCATGACCTCTTCTAAACTTGGCTTGTATTTTCTGTAGTTCTCTGTCAATGCACTGCTCCAGTCTTTTCTGGATAATTTTTGGAAGGATTTTGTTTGCATGTGGTATTAGTGATATTGTTTGATAATTTCCACATTTTACTGGATCATCGTTTTTTGGAATGATTATAAACAAGGATTTCTTCCAGTAAGTTGGAGAAGTAGATGTCCTCCAGATTTCTTGGCATGGCCTGGTAAGCACATCCAGGGCAGCGTCTGCTTGTTGAAATATGTCAGTTGATATTCCATCAATTCCTGGGGCCTTATTTTTGCCAATTCCTTCAGAACAGTGTGAACTTCCTCCTTCACCATCATTGCCTCTTATTCATATGTTGTTTCTTGAAATTTTTCTGTGTTAGCCAATTGTTTTTGGTACAGTGATTCTGTGTACTCCTTTTATCTTCATCTAATGCTTCCTGGGTCATTCAATATTCTACCCATAACATCCTTAAGTATGATTGTAAATCTCAACTCCATAACATCATGAGCTGTATTTGATATTGATAGGTTAGGCAGCATCCAAACAAGACACGAGTCAATTATAAGATCGAGATCAAACAAAAAGCAAGCCCTACTTCCAAATATCTACTTAATGCAGGCTAGAACCCTGATGAAACTTTTCATCAACTGGTTGGACAATTTACTTATAGTAAATCCTATCAAGGGTGTAATCACAGTACATCAAGCCTCATCAAGGGAAAAGCTAAGCCAGAGAATCAGACAGCCAAGTAGACACATTATCTTAACCTTAATCTTATAATCACTATGTTTGTACATGGCCAGAGGAATAATAAAATCTGAAAGCCTCTAGAAAGACTGAGTTATTTTACAGAACTAATAATATTTTTTATTGTTGCTATTGAGGCATATCCTGATAAGAACAATTAAGAATTTTTTAAAAGATTATTTGGACCACACAAATGATATTGTTTACAGAAAACAATTGAAGGCTAGATTTTAAGGTTAGATTTACCTAAAGAGCTGTATGTTTTTGATTAAAGAAAAAAGAAAAAAAATTAAAAACCACAACACTTTGCTGTATATAAAATTGATTAAAGAAAACAGACTGTAGTAAGGAAGACCAGTTATGATGTTATTTTAATGATTCAGGGAAATTTGAAGGAAACTGATATTTAGCCAATAGAACAGGAAATGGAGAAAAGGAGCCAATTATGAGTGTGGTTAAGAAAATAAAAATGGCAGAACCAAGGCCTGATTAAGGCTGTCAGGTGATACCAATGACTAAGTGAGAAGGCTTCTAACCAAGTTGTTCTAGTTTCATCCCTGGTGAGAATTTGCATGTGCTGTCTACTCAGAGGCATGTAGTGTGAATACACCAGATGCTTCTCCTGAGAAAGATGATTATCTCTTTCTGTGCAATATATAACTTCTAAAAACCCATTGGAGGGTTAACTATGAGTCAGTTCCAACCTGATGCCTTAGAAGAAAGTCCTGGGAATGTAGGGCTGAAAAGTCACAGTCTTTGAAAAAACCTTTGGAATGAAGCTCTGCTATGGTACACATGGGGTTGTGTGTCAGAATAATCCCAAGAATTTTAATTAAAGCTTGATTGGTCAAGGAGTAAATGACAATGCCAGATCTATAATCAGCCCAGTTCCCGGAGTTAGGTAAGTGTTTAAAAGTAAAACGGAAAAGCAGAGTAGTGGTTTGTACAGAACAATGAATTATATAATATTCACTGTTATTACAAAATAACATTGTTATTACATAACAATAAATGCAGCTCTTGCTCTTTGAGCTAATGAATAAGTGTATACAGGGGCCATTCTCATCAATGAGAGGCAAGGGACAGTTTAAAGATGCAAAATGACTTCATGTGAGCTCTGGGATTTTCTGACAAAAGTACAATGACTACCTGTTCATGTTGGCACAAAGGAAAAAAGTGTAGGAGACAAGCATAAATCCAGATTAAGATAATACTTGATGTTCCCAGGAAGAGAGCTAGCAAAACTGGCAAGAAACTGTAACTGGGGCATTTTTGAAGAACCTAAGGGGTGACTGTGTCATGCAGAAGAAATGTGCCTCACCCACGAGGACGCACACGAGGGTCCCTGAAGGTTTTATGTCTCAGCATTCCACAGAGGCTGGTGCAAATAGGGTGGAGCCGGGGATTGCCAAATGAAGCGGAAATAAAGGGAGGAACTGAGGATAAAAAATAAGTTTCCTGGCGCCATGCCTTGATTCTGCCACTAACAGGTTTTATAACCTTGGGCAAGCCAGTAAATTTCACATAGCTTCATTTCCTTTCACTACAAAATCAGAATGAAAATTAAAGGACTGCAATTACAATAACTTATTAACTAATACTTAGAGGACTGGGGTGCTGGGGGGAAGGGAGAAGGGGAAACTGCCTGGAGGGGTGGTTTATAAGATAAGATCTAAAGAATGAGGACAAGTTAGTTGATGAATGGAAGAGACTGGGGTGAACACAAAAGTAATTCTAGATAGAGGAAAGAGCATGAGTAAAATCACTGAGCCAAAAAGAAAATTACACTTTTAGAGGGCTAAAAGTGATTTGATATAACTTAGAAGCTGGCTTGTCAGCTCTGATATGTGAAGACCCAGTGCACAGCAGAAAACAAAATGAATTAAAACAACTGAAAACCAGAAAGAAACATTGACCAATCCTGCACAATAATCATAATCACTTGTATAATTGAGTCCATTTCTTCAGCCATTGAGTATTTTCAGGGCCTTCCAGCCCAAGAGACTTATTAAACAGGACTATATCCTGTTGGGATCTATACCATTACTTTTAGCTTTTTCTTTAAGTAAATAGCCAAACATTCCTTACTAGTATATCTTAGCTTGGAAATTGCTGAAACTTGTCCATGATGGCTGATCTTGCATTACCGGTGTCATACTTTCTAACATCACAACAACACATAGGCTACGTAAACGGTATGACAAACTGACAAATGGATGATAGTTAACATAACTGTTGTTGTTGTTATATGCCATCAAGTCATATGTGATTCACAGCAACCCTATGTACAGTAACTCTGAAGCTTGCCTTATTCTGAGCCAGTCTCACTGACTCCGACATTCTTAATCCTATTACCCCACTAATCATGTCCATCTGTCTCTCCCAGGGTCTTCTTCCTCAGGTGCATTGTCCCTCCACTCTTTCATGCATGATATCCTTCTCCAAGGACTCGTCCCGTTTGGCCACACTAACTTCCAAGGAGAAACTTGGTTTCACCCTCTCCAAGACAGACCTATTTTTTTTCCTGGCAGTCCACGGTATGTTCAACACTCTTCTCCAGCACTGTACTCAAAGGCATCAGTTCTTCTTCTGGAAACCTTAGTCACTGTCCAGCTCTCTGACGTATGGCAAGTAATTTTAAAGACCATGGCATGGATCAGGCACACCTTAGTCACCAGCCTGACATGATTTCTCTTTAGCAATTTGGAGAGCAAACATAATTAGACAATAAAATTTTACCAGAGATAGGGGTCCCGCTAGATTTCAACAGTGAGACCTCCCTGCCCAAAGTTGGAATCCCATACTACTCCGAATGTCATGTTTGGAGTTGACCTCGGCTCATTTCAATCCTGTGAACAGCAGATCTCAATCCTGTGCCATCTTCACCATCTCTGATACACCTGAGGCCGTTCCTGCAGTCACACTTAGTGACTATGGGAAGCTGGGAGACACCAACGAACGAGCCATGCGTATGGCTGACTTCTGGCTGACGGAGAAGGACTTGATTCCAAAGCTGTTTAAAGTGCTAGCCCCTCGATTCCAAGGTCAGAATGGAGGCTACACAAGAATGGTGCAGATTCCAAATAGAAATGAACAGGATCGGGCCAAGATGGCAGTGATCGAATACAAAGGAAACTGCCTCCTACCCCTGCCACTGCCTCGCAGAGACAGCAACCTCACACTCCTAAACCAGCTGCTGCGGGGGCTTCAGCGAGACCTCGCTCAGAAAGAGAAAGCCAGCATTCACAGCTCCTCCACACCTGAAACACCAGGAATGTAACTAGGGCAGGAACGTCTGTGACCATGTTCTCAGGCCTTTGACATTCTCCTGATCTCTGAGAAAAACTGTACATAGAGGTGTAAAATGAATAGTCTTAATGGACCCATAACCTTCTGGGAAACCAGATAGTCCTCTTTTTGCAGAACACATAAAATCTACCATTTAAATATAAAAAAAAAATTTACAAGAGATAGAAGATCTTGTAAACATTTAAGTTACTTGCTGAAGATCACATAACATCTCTACCAAACTCTATTTTGGTTATTAATAATATGCAATCTTTCTACAACACAATATAAACAGAAGACTAGTGTTAAGGATAATGTAAGAATAATATTCCTCAGTATGTCTAGATGATTGCATAGTGAATATTCTGTTGAGCTTAAATGAAAAAAAAATATTATAAATACTATGACTGAGAGTTATTGCAAGGTATTACTAACTTGATTAAGATTCATGGCAACCCCTAAAGTGTCAGAATATAACTGTGTTCCATGGGGTTTTCAATTACTGATTTTTTCAGCAGAAAAACTCCAGAACTTTCTTTTTTAGGTACCTCTGGGCTGACTAGAGCCTCCAAGGTTTTGGTTAACAACTGAGTGCATTATATCTTTGTAGATATATCTTTAACTAGGAAACAAAACTAAGGCAGCTGAACTTAGTCAATATAAGTCAATAGGTATGCATCCACTCTGTTGTTGTTAAGTGCTCTCTTTTAGAATACTATTCTTAGTGTCCCTATAAACAACATATCTGAACCCTGCCCTACACTGTGCATCCTCATAATTTCTGGCACACTTGCACCCATTGCTGCACTCACTGTGTCATTCAGTCTTATTTAGAGTCTTATGCTCTTTGGTGACCCTCTGTCTTTCCAAGAATAATGATCCTCTCCAAAGAATAGCCTTTCCTAGTAGTATACCCAAAGTGAGATGAATTTTATCATCTCTGTTTTCAAGAAGCATTCTGTCTGCTCGTTCTCCAAGAGTAACTTTTGGCAGTTCATGTAACATTCAGTATTTTTCTCCATCACCACAGTTCAAAAGTATCAATTTTTCTTCTGTCATCATTATTCACTGGTCAGCTCTCAGCAGCACAAGAAAGTGATTGAAAAGACCATGGCCTTAATCATACACACTTTAGTTTTCAAACTGACACCATTATTTTTCAGCAATTTGGAGAGTTCCCTGACAGCAGACTTTTCTAGTGCAATAAATCTCCTGATCTCCTGACTGGCTAGTGTCAAGAATGTTTATTGTGGATTCAATTAAAATGAAATTTTTGACAACTTCAATGTTTTCTCCACCTATCTTGATGCTGCTTATTGGCCCAGTGGTAAGAATTTTTGTCTTCTTGATGTTGAGATAGAATCCATATTGAAGGCAACAGTCTTCTATCAACACACAAAATACATTTTTATAATGTTGTTAGATTATCTAGAGTCAGCTCCAATACATGTGGCCTTGGGTATAAAAGATGGAAACTCTATTGGATGCAGCAGCACCCTCCACAATTTCTGCTAGCCCGTGGTTAATATCAGTTCTCTATTATAAATTTGTTAACTATTTAAGCAGGACTGGCATCCATTTCCAAAATAGCTTGCCTCTGGAAAATCTGTGAATGTGGAGAAACAATGAAAGTTATACGAGTGTTCAGGTCTTTCATTCATAGGGTCGCTGTGAGTTGTCTACGGCTCGATGGCACTTAACAACAATCATTATATAGAAAATAAACCTTGAAAACTAATGGTGACTGCATTTATTAAAAGAACAAACAGAATTGATGATGATCAGTTTATAATGGATATAGGAAGCAGAGTAAATTGTGTTATATAATACTTAGAGACTAGATCAATAAGTATTTTTGTGTTTTTCTTACTTAGAGTACATGACAGATGGAGAAGAGATTGAGGTTGCTAACAATTACAGTTTGCTCGGCCTCACAACAACACTCTACACACCAGTAGTCAGGAAATCAAAAGATTAATTGCACTTGGAAAATCAGCTGTCAGGGTCCTCTCCAGAGTACTGAGAAGCATGCCTCTGGAAACTCTATTAACTTTGATAAATGATGATAGCTATAGAGAGGGTTCAGGCCTTTTGTTCATAGATAGGGTTGCTATGAGTTGTTCTCTACTTGATGACAATCAACAACAACAACAAGTCATGTGGAGTAGTTGGTGAATTGAACTGTTTACCTTTTTTTTTTTACCTTGGGCCTTCCTAAACTGTAAGATTTATCCATCAGTTTGTGGTATTGGGGGGATGATCTGCAAATTGCTAACTACTTTGTTGCTTTGGTATATGTATTTCTGCTTCTTTGTCATTGTTCCAATAAGTATAGCACTTGTCTGGTAGTTTGCTGTACTGAGGTAACTGGTGCATTGCTGTGATACTGAAGAATGTGCTAGCCGTGTAACAAATGCCGGAGGGGTCAACCACTGTAAACAGATTTTAGTAGAGCTTTCAGATTGAGACAGACTAGAAAGGAGGATTGGCCATCCACTTCTGAAATAGCACGTCTCAGAATAGCCTATGAACAACAGAGGAATATGAATAACTATATTATTAGAGGTAGAGCCCAGCTTATAAGTCAATAAAAATGAAGGTAAATAGCTGCAAACATCCTTTAATAGTTGGAACATGGAATGTATGGAGTACAAATTGTGAAAACTGAAACAGAATACATGCACATTCACATTCTAGTCATTAGTGAGATAAGATGGAATGACTGATCACTTTGGAAGAGAAAAATCACGTGTCATATTATACCAGGAGTGTAAAACAGAGGAAGAATGGTGTTACAGTCATTGTTAAAAAGAAGTTTTGAAGTTCTATCCTGAAATACAATATTGTGAGTGACAGAATATGATCCATACACATATAAAGGAGACCTTTAACGACTATTATTAACTATTTAAATATACACACTAACAGTTAACCCCAAGTAGGAGAGAATGAAAGACTTTTATCAAATTTTGGAGTTCTAAATTGACCAAACACGTAATCAAAATGTGTCAGTGATAGTTGGTTACTTGAACACAAAAGTTGGAAACAGTGAAGAATAAACGGGTAGTTGGTAATTATAGACTTGGTGAAAGAAATGGGGCTAGAAAGATAAAGATTTAATTTCATACTTTCAACCATTTATTTGTCACAAATACCTTTTAAATAAAAAGCAATGAAAATACATATGGACATTACAAGTTGAACTACATAGGAATCAGATTGACTACATCTGTAGAAAAAACTAAGGCAGGTGCTGATTGTGGAACAGATCATCCATTATTCACACAAGTTCAAATTGAAGCTGAAGAAAGTGAAAAAAAAGAAAAAAAATCTAGATTCTATCTCTTCTGAGTTTAAAAACCATCATAGGAATAGATTTGTCTATGGCCACACCACACTGAATGCACCTGATATCGTCTGATCTCAGAAGAATAGATGTGAAGCATTGTACACCAGGGACCAAAAACCATATGAGAACATATGAGCAAAAGGTTACTAAAAACCAAAATAGAGGAGGAATAAAAATCTAAATGGATGTTAGACAAGACTGTAAATATTAGACTAGATCATCAAGAAGTCAAACAGAAGGAAAGAGATATTGAATAGAAGAGCTGAACAGAAGATTACAAAGGGCAAATCAAGAAGATAAAGGAAAGAATTATAACAAAACAAACAGAGACAGAGAACTGGAGAATAAAAAAGGAAGAACTTGCTTGGCGTTTCTCAAACTGAAAGAACTGAAAAACAAATTCAACCCTTGAGTTGTAATACTTAGAGATACTATAGGGAAAATCTTGAATGGTCCAGGAAGCATCAAAAGAATGTGAGGGAAAACAGAATCACAGACCCCAAAAGAATTAGTCACACTAAATTATTTCAGGACGTATTTTATTTTATAACCAAGAACCAATGGTAAGGAAGGAAGAAGCTTAAGTTGCAATGAAGGCATTGACAAAAAATAAGGCCTTTGTGAATCAATGGGATGAAAATTGACATGTTTCAAATGATAGATGACAGCCCTGAATGTGCTCACCAGTTTTGGACAGGAAATTTGGAGGATGGATAGCTGCTTAACTGCCTGAATGAGATCCATGCCATATTTGTTCTCATTCACAAGGAAGGTGATACAACAGGATATGAAAGTTATTGAATAATGCCATTAATATTACATGCAAATAAAATACTGCTGCATACCATTAAAAAATGGCCAGAAAATAAACAACTTCCAGAAGTTCAAGAAGAGGCCATGGCACCAGAGATATTATTGCTGATGTCAGATAGATCCTAGCTGAAAGCAAAGTATACCAGAAGAATGTTTATTTTTGCTTTATTCACCATGCATTTGACTATGTAGATCACAATAAATTATGACTAACATTGAGGAGAAAGGGAATTCCAGAATATTTAACTGTGCTCATGTGAAACTTATACCTAGACCAAGAAGCTTTTGTGCAAACCGAACAAGGGAACACTCCATTATAGAGTTTAAAATTAAGAAAGGCATGTGCCAGGTTTGTATCTTTCCCCCATACTTATTTGGTCTGTATGCTTAGCAAATTTTTTGAGAAGCTGGACTCTGTGAAGAAGAATGTGGCATCAGAATTGAAAAAGACTCATCAACACCTTGAGCTATGCAGATTACACAACCTTGCTTGCTGAAAGTGAGAAGGGCTTGAAGTACTTGCTGAAGAAGAACAAAAGCTACCACCTTCAATACAGATAGCATCTTGATGGCAAGAAAGCAGAAATTCCCATCACTGGACCTGTAGGTAACATCATGATAGATAGAGAAAAGATTGAAACTACCAATGACTTCGTCTTAATTGGATCCACAATCAATATATTTGGTATCTATAGCCAGAAGATCAGGCGATATATTGCACTGGAAAGTCTGAAGTCAGGGACCTCTCCTAATTACTGAGGAACAATGATGTTAGTTTGAGGGCTAGGTATGCCTGATTCAAACCATCGTCTTTTCAATCCCTTGCTATG